CTGATGATAACTGAGGTCCAGCGCCCCAAAGGCCTGCCTCGAGATCTTCGTCGATGTCACGCAACGCTTGCTCCCATGTAACGTAAGGCGAGGTTTTCACCCTTTTGCCTGGATGCCTGGGAGCTATATAGAGAATTTCTCCTTCGCCAACTTTGGTCTTTCCGTCGCAGTTAACATTCTTTTCATAATAATAAACTTTGAATCTGGAAGCACATAAGAGAAAAACAATCCTGTAAACCATGTAAGAGGAAACATGCTTTTTACGTAATTTTACTTTGACAATATTGTGAAGCACCACTGAATATATCCATATAGAGGTCTGCGCTATATAAATGTAATTATTAAGAGGTACATGTTTAATTTTTTTGCTATATTAAGATTACACCCGAAATTAAAAATCAGCCATTCCCAAAATCCATTCGCTCTAAAATGGATGAAAAAATTGACTATTTGAAACTTAAACAAATATATTTTCAAAGATTACCTTGAAAAGAAACAAACAAAAAAGAGTGTTTATCCATCAAGTTTTACGTCAAGTACCTGTAGCTGCTTGGCTGTGACCCAGGGCTCCTCTCAACGAAGTTATCCCGAATATCCTCAGCGATATCTCGTCCATCCAGGGCTGAAAATGAACAGCCTAACTTTTTCCTAGCCATATCCAGAGCAGTTAATAGGGCGTCCGCGTAGTCTTGATCCAGAATAGTATTTCCTCCATCTACTGCCACGATCTTTTTAAGCCTCAGCTTCAGTAAGGGGAGAATGCCAAGATTCTCAAGATGGCCGCCATCACTTAGGGACAAAACAGCCGGCGGGTTGGATCCAACATTTATGACATTCATCGCTTTACGATGATAGTGACCACCAAGGGTATTGATTGTCAACCATCTGTCGAGAAAAAGTTATTTGATTTTTCTTTCATAAAATGAAATTACGAGCGAGGAACCTTGAAATACGTTCATCGTTTTAAATCAGAGACCCACCATTTTGGATTTCCACTATAAAGGACACTTTTAATCACGTAATGAGCAGCGATGTAAATTAACTGGAACAAAGGAAATGTTTACTATATACTTAAAATGGTTCAAATCCCACACGACTACCCCTACACCAACGTGGTGGAGAATTTTATGTTTTGGTTACCACGATGGCCTCAGTGACACGTCATATGAAAACGATCTATTGAACCTGCGTGGCTCACGCTTCCCGTTAACTCTCAAATATCGCGTCCCCGTTTCCCTTAATCTTAGCACCATCAGGGTGCACAATTTCCGCCAATGGTAACTGTCCCTATAGTTTGATACACCACCACGGGAAAATGACCTGATACGTCCCTTGAATTCAAGAAAAGGTGATATATCCACAAATAGGTT